ATGTATCAGTAGCCCATTCCTTTTAAATGGCTGAATAATATTTCTTTGCATGTATATACCATAATTTGTTTATCCACTCATCTGCTGATGGACATTTGGGTTATTCCCACTTTCTGGCATAGTGAATAGTGATGCTATTAACATTCATGTATAAGTATTTATCTGAATATCTGTATTTGATTCTTTTGGATATATGTATGTGAGCAAAATTGCTAAGTCATATGGTAATTGAATGTTTAACTTTTTGAGAAACTGCCAAACTGTTTCCTGCAGTCATTGAACCACCTTACATTCCCACCAGCAATGTACAAGGGTTCCAATTTCTCCACATACTTGTCAACACCTGTCGTTTTCTTTTTTTTTTAAATGATAGCCATCCTAGTGGATGTGGAGTGGCAGCTCATTGAGCATATAATTTGCATTCCCTTAATGACAAAAGCATCTCTTCACATTTTTGTTGGCTATTTATATATCTTTTTGGAGAAATGTCTATTCAGATCCTTTGCCCATTTTTAAACTCAAGTTATCTTTTTGTTGGGGTTATGAGTTTTTTAATATATTCTGAATACTAAACCCTTACCAGATGTATAACTTAGAAATATTTTCCCTCATGCTGTAGACCGTCTTTTCACTTTCTTAATACAGGCTGAATATCCCTAATCTGAAAATCCAAAATCAAAAATACTACAAAATTCAAAACTTTTTGAACACTGACATGACACTCAAAAGAAATGCTCACTCGAACATTTTGGATTTTGGGATTAGGGATGCTCAATTGGTAAGTATAACGTAAATATTCCAAAACCCCTAAAAATCTGAAATACCTCTTGTCCCAAGCAATTAGAATAAGGACTACTCAAGCTGTAATGTTCTTTGATACACAAAAGTTTTATATTTTGAAGTTCAATTTGTCTCTTTTTTTCTTTTGTTGCTTGTGCCTTTGGTGTCATATCTAACAATCCACTGCCAGTTAAGGTCAAGAAAATTGACCCTTATATTTTCTTCAAAGAGTTTTAAGGTTTTAACTCTTATATTTAACTCAGTTAATTTTTATACACAGTGTGAGAAAGTGGAATACATCTTGATAAACCCCATGTAAAGTCAAATAATTGTCAAACCAACTTAAATAAAGGACCAGCTATATTTCTTCAAATATTTTTTCTGTCCCACCTTTCTCTCCTCTCCTTTAGGGACTCTAAAATACACATACACTTGGCCATCTGAAGTTGCTCCTTAGCTCATGGATGCTCTGTTAATTTTTTAGTCTTTTTTTTTTCTCTGCTTCATATTGGATATTTTCTACTGTTGTCTTTAAATCCACTAATCTATTCTTTTGCAATATCGGATCTACTGTTAATACCATACAATGCATTTTTCAAATCACATTGTAAGTTTCATTTCTAGAATTTTAATTTTTTAAAAACATATCTTCCATGTCTCTAAGTGTATTTGATCTTTCCTCTACTTTTTGAAAATATGGAATACAGATTTAATAACTGTTTTAATATCCTTATCTACTAATTCTATCATTTATGTTATCTCTGAGTTAGTATTTATTTTTTCCCCTCCTTATGGATTTTTATTTTACTGTTTGTTTGAATGCCTAGTAATGTTTTCTTGGATGCCAGAAACTGTGAATTTTACCCGACAAGGTAAAATTCAGGATGTTTTCTGATTTCTATGGACATTCTTAAATTTTGTTCTAGGATGTGGTTAAGTTACCTGAGAACAGTTTGATCTTTTTGGGTCATGCTTTTAATATTTGTTATATTGAACCACAGTAGCAATTACTCAGGGGATAGTTCTTCCTTGCTAACAAGTAAACTTATTGATAGTGTTCAAATTGCTGCTATTAGGAACATGAATTTTGCCTGACCCATTGAACTCCAAGTATTATTTCCTTAGATCCTTCCCTGGCTGTAGCTACTTTCCTCACCCACACGTGCTGATGAGCACTCAACTGAATACTCAAAGAAAGACCCTCTCCATATGTCTGCAATTTTTTTCTCCATGGAGCTCTTTCCCATCTGGTACTCTGCTCTGTGAATTCTAACTATTTTGCCTCCCTGGACTCCTAGCTCCATTCCCTCAACTCAGAAAGACTACAGAGCTCTGCCTTGTACCCCCACCCCCTTGTGCCGTGGCTTGGGATCTTTCTCTAGGACGTAAGCTAGAACAGTCACTGGGTTCATTTCATCTGTTTCCCATCTCTCAGAGATCACTGTCCTTCACTACCTGATATCCAATGTCTTGAGAGCCATTGTTTCATATATTTTGTCCAGGTTCTTAGCTATTTGAAGCGGGAAAGTAAATTCAGTCCCTGTTACTCTGTCTCAGCCAGAAGAGGAAGTCATTTTTACCTTTTTAACATGTCTACTTAACTGTAGCCTCCTCTCAAACAAGAAAAGGAACTTCAAAAGGTTTTAATTTCCCTGTACTCTTTCCCATTCCTGTATTTATTGTTTAATATTTTAATATTAATTCTTTGCTTTTAATCCTAATCACATTCTCATTTGATAAAAACTATTAAAATGTATTTACCTACATAGAATAACCCTAGAAAGGTACTGGTAATAGTGGTTGCCTCTAAAAAGGGAAAATTAAAACTAGGAGTTAGGAAAGAAAAAGAAATCTCCTTTTCACTGTATATGCCCTATATCTTTTTAATTTTCTACCACATGTACTTATTAGCTATACAAAAGAATAAATTTTTTAAATATTTAGATTTTTAAATATGCTTTATAAATTTCTTTGCTCATTGATTTTTCTTACTACTCCTTTTTTCTTCTTCCTGAATAAATTCTGTCTTTGCATATCTAAAAATAGCATTGTCTATATTATTGAAATATAATTTAGCTAGGTCTACCTAGAATTTTTTAATGCTATTACTCTGTTAATAACATCTAACTATCTACTTTCTATTCCAATTGTTGCTAATGTCAATCTGATTGTTTCTCTTTGATAGAGGATATATTTTCTTTCTGGTAGCTTCTAAAATCTTCTTTACCCATAATCTTCTACAATGTAGATTTTTAAAAGAGTATTTATTGAGGCATTTCAATGTGAGAACTTTCATCATCATTTCAATTTATTATTTCTTTGACAATTTCCTTGCCTTTATTTTCCTTAGTTTTTTCTTCCAGAATATCTTAAGACATGGAAGGTAAACTGACAAACCCAAAACAAGTCTCTTAATTTCATTTATATTTACCATCTCCTCTCTGTGCTATATTCAGTAATCATGCCTTCTTGACAGTAGTTTCCTCTCCCTGGTCCTCTACCCAGTGCAGGATTTTATGTCAGTGGTTCATAATTCTTGCCCCTATGCAAGTGACACTAAAGCAGATGTCAATCATTGCAAGTCCCATTTTCATATCTTTGTTCTCTCCTCAGGGAGCACCAGGCAACCAGTATATTTATGGTTTCAACCCCAGGTAGTTACACAGAAGTGTTTTGCCCTGCTTAACTACCTCAGAGAGCTGTTCTACTAGATACCCAGCTTCATGTAGCTTCACATAAAAAACCAAATTCTGGGTGGAGTTACATTGAGTTTCCAATCTGTGTCAGTTTTGAAGACCCAGCTCTCAAACTGGACTCTAGTCTATGCCTTATGGCCATAGCCTTTGCTCACTATTAGTTTTCTCACTGATCTAAAAATTTGCACCTTTAGTGAAAGCTAGCATTAAAAAAAGTTTTTTCCTTAATCATTCCCACATGGGATGATATGCTCACTTTATTATTTTGAGAAGAAATTTATAATTTATAATAAATCATTTGCAAACCAAATTTAGGTAGTTTTTTTTTTTTTTTTACTTAGGTTTAAGATTCTTCTAGTAAGCAGAAATATGTCAAGCTTCTTCTCTCTTAAATTCAAATAACTTAATTATCCCACCACAGTCCATAAATGCTTGAGAGCTACTAACCAAGGCTGAATATACCTAAATATAAAATATCAAATTCTTTACTTCGGCTAATCATTTTATATAAATAACCAAGTTGTTTTTTTACCACTTTGAATTAAATTTTACTAAAGAACAAAATATGACTTAATAGGAATTACATTAGCATATATATTACAGACCCCATTAACCCCACTTTTTTTGTTTGTTTTTTGAGACAAGGTCTCGATCTGTTGCCCAGGCTAGAGTGCAGTGGCGTGATCATAGCTCACTACAATCTCAAACTCCTGGGCTCAAGTGATCCTCCTGCCTTGGCCTCCCTGAGTAGCTGGGATTATAGGCACACATCACTGCGCCTGGCTAATTTTTCTATTTTTTGTAGACACAGGGTCTCACTCTTTCTCAGGCTAGTCTCCGACTCCTGACCTCAAGCAATCCTTCTGCCTTGGTCTCCCAAAGTGCTAGGATTACAGATGAAAGCCACCATGCCCAGCCTTAACCTTATAACATTTAAAATCATCACACTTCTGTGCTGTATTCCATGATGACAACTTCTTAAAAAGTGCTTAGCACTGTCTTATATATTTATATCCAATAAATCTAACAAAAATTTTAGCTGTATCTATAGAATTAGCAATTAAATTTGACTAGCCTTTTCCAATACAAGATACTGATATGAAACTTCTGATTTTTAAAGAAAACTTCTTAATTTTTGGAAGGTAGCTTAACAAATGCATAGGCAACAAAAGGAACAAAAAATGTCTCAGAGAAGAGATCTTAATATGGTCATCACTTGGAATAATGGAAAATATACTGGTCTAGAATCTAATAATAACACTGACAGTCACAACCTGTGGCCTTAATACAAATCTTCCTAGACCTCAGTTTATTTGTTTGTTGAAAAATTTTAAAAAGAGATCAAACTAAAACATTTCTAGAGTACTTCCTTACTAAAATGTCATGATTCTATGATTCTCGTCATTGTTATTTTAAATTGGGATATTCACAGAGCATAATGCATAGCCTATCCTATTATACGATTCAATATTCTGAAAATGAGAGCTCCTCAAGTTTTTCACAAGGCATATAACCAGTGCATACCTGTCTAGGTTAGTGACACCAGAAGAGTAGTCCTTGGATCCAGCTCTGCTACCATAAAAGGATGATGACTGCAAAGGTAAAAGCCCTATAAAACAAATGAACAAAGGAAAAAATTCTTCAAGCAACCATTCAAGTTCACTTAATAATAAATTACACATTGGGCCTCTTTATATTTCTTTTTCTTTCCTTTTTTTAATCAAAGTACCTTGTTTTGTTGCATTTTGCTTTATTGAGCTTTGCAGATATTGCATTGTTTTACAAATTGAAGGTCTGTGACACTCGTGGTTTGAGCAAGTCAATCCGTGCCATTTTTTCTTTTTCTTTTTTTTGAGATGGAGTCTCGTTGTGTTTGCCCAGGCTGGAGTGCAGTGGCTATTCACAGGCACGATCCCACTACTGATCAGCTCGGGAGTTTTGACCTGCCCCGTTTCTGACCTGGGCTGGTTCACCTCTCTTTAGGCAACCTGGTGATTTCCAGCTCCCTGGAGGTCACCATATTGATGCCAAACTTAGTGGGGACACCCAATTAGCATAGTATACCACAACCTAGAACGCCTGGGCCCAAGCAATCCTCCCACCTCAGGTTCCCAAGTAGCTGGGACCACAGGCACATGCTATGGCATCCAGCCGTTTTTTCAACAGTATATGCTCACTTCATGACTCTGTGTCATATTTTGGTAATTCATCTGTTATGGTGATTTGTGATCAATGATTTTGGTGTTACTTTGTTAATTGTTCTGGGGCACCACAAACCATACCCATGCAAGATGACAAACTTAATTGATAAATGTTGTGTGTTCTGATTGTAACACTGGCCATTCCCGTCTCTCTCCCTCTTCTTGAGCCTCCCTATTCCCTGAGTCACAATATTGAAATTAGAATAATTAATAACCCTACAATGACTTCTAAGTGTTCAAGTGAAAGAAAGAGTTGCACATCTCTCACTTTAGGCCAAAAGCTAGCCCTCTTCTGCCAAACAGTTAACCAAATTATGAATGCAAAGGTAAAGTTCTTGAAGGAAATTAAAAGTGCTACTGCACTGAACACATGAATGATAAAGCAGTCTTATTGCTGATGTGGAGAAAGTTTTAGTGGTCTAGGTAGAAGATCAAACTAGCCATAACATTCCCTTAAGGCAAAGCCCAATCCAAAACAAGGACCTAACTCTCTTGAATTCTATGAAGGCTAAGAGAAGTAAGGAAGCTGCAGAAGAAAAATATGAAGATACCAGAGGCTGGTTCATGAGAATTAAGGAAAAAAGCCATCTTCATAACATAAAAGTGCAAGGTGAAGCAGCAAGTGCTGATACAGAAGCTATAGCAAATTACCCAGAACATCTAGCTAAGATAAGTAATGAAGGGGGTTACATTAAACAACAGAAAATAGCCTTATAGTGAAAGAAGATGCCATGCAGGACTTTCATAGCTACAGAGAAGTCAATGCCTGGCTTGAAAATTTCAAAGGACAGGCTGACTCTTATTATGCAGCTGGTGATTTCAAGTTGAAGCCAATGCTCACTTACCATAGTGAAAATCCCAGGGCCCTTAAGAATTATGTTAAATCTACTCTGCCTATCTCTGCTCTATAAATGGAACAACAAAGCCTGAGTGACAGCACATCTGTTTACAGCATTTACAGGTTTACTGAGTATTTTAAGTGTACTGCTGAGACCTAGTACTCACACAAAAAAAGATTTCTTTGAAAATGCTGCTGCTCATTGAAAATGCACCTAAGTCAGGGCCAGGCGAGGTGGCTCGCACCTATAATCTCAGCACTCTGGGAGGCCAAGGTAGGAGGATCGCTTGAGGTCAGGAGTTTGAAACCAGCCTAAGCAAGAACGAGACCCCGTCTCTACTAAAAATAGAAAAATTAGCCAGGTGCGGTGGCATGTACCTGTAGTCCCAGCTACTTGGGAGGCTGAGGAGGATGACTTGAGCCCAGGAGTTTGAGGATGCAGTGAGCTATGATGACGCCACTGCACTCTACCCAGGGCAACAGAGTGAGACTTTGTCAAAGAAAAAAAAAATGCACCTAGTCCCAAGAGCTCTGATAGAGACGTACAAAGAGATCTATGTTGTTTTCATGCCTGCTAACACAACATGCATTCTTCAGTCCAGGGATCAAGGATCATTTCAACTTCCAAGTCTTATAATTTAAAAAATAAATTTCATAAGGCTATAGCTGCCATAGAGAAGATTCCTTTGATGGATCTGGGCAAAGTCCATTGAAAACTTTCTGGAAAGCATTCACCATACAAGATGTCATTAAGAACATTTGTGATTCATAGGAGGTCAAAATAACAACCTTAACAGAAGTTTGGAAGAAGTTGATACCAACCCTCAAGGATGACTTTGAGGGGGTTCAAAACTTCAGTGGAGGAAACAAACTGTAGATGTGGTAGAAACAGCAAGAGAACTATTAACAGGAGTGGAGCCTGAAGACGTGGCTAAATTGCTGCAATCTCTTAATGAAACAGATGAGAAGTTAGGTGAGCAAAGAAAGCGATTTCTTGAGATGGAATCTACTCCAGGTGAAGATGCTGTGAACATTGTTGAAATGACAACAAAGGATTCAGAATATTACATAAATTTAGTTGAGAAAGCAGGAGCAGGGTTTGAAAGGCCTGATCCAACTTTGAAAGAAATTCTGTGGATAAAATGCTATCAAAGGGTATCACATGCTACAGAGAGATCTTTTGTGAAAGGAAGAATCAATTGATGCAGCAAAACTTCATTGTTGTCTTATTTTAAGAAATTGCCACAGCCACCCCAACCTTCAGTAACCACTACCCTGACTGGTGAGTAGCCATCAATACCAAGGCAAGACGCTCCACAAGTAAAAAGATTATGACTTGCTGAAGGCTGAAGTGATTGTTAGTATTTTTTAGCAATGCAGTATTTTTAAATGTATGCACATTGTTTTTTCCTACATAATGCTATTGCACACTTAAGAGACTACAGTATAGTACAAACATAATTTTATATACACTGGGAAACCAAAAAATTGTGTGACTTGCTTTATTGAAATATTAGCTTTTGGTGGTCTGGAACCAAATCCACAATATCTGCAAGGTATGCCTATATACATGCATGTGTAAAAGACCAAATACTGTGGAAAAAGTTATAATAACAAAGCAATACTCCCCCGCTCCAAAGGACTACATGTTTTGCTTCTGATTTCTAACCATTTTTTAAAACCTACTTTTTCGAATTTCCTCCACAGTGCTAGATAATGTTTCTACTATTTCTTGATTTATTCATCTTAAACAATATTAGTTGACTCCTTATTATGGAAAATTAGAAGTTTCTCATTTACATTATCCCTACTCTTGTTCTCCTCTTTCCAACCAATTATTAGTTGTATTACTTTAGTTCTTCTACTGACTAACTCTGTAACTTCAATACACTTAAAATTTCTACATTTTGTTCCATGAATCTTATTACTTGACCACCCACTTCTTCCACATCAACTTTTGCAAGATATACCTTAACTTCAACATTGTTAAGGCTTATAACATCTTTAAGTTTTCTGTTAACCTCACTACAGGTTAATTACAAAGCTGAATGCCAATAAGTGAAGTTTATATCTTCTAAGTATTATTATTTCAGAGGTTAAGACTTATATTTCAGATGCTTCTTTCTGTAGGAGTCAATGTCAGAATCCCAAACCACTAAAAAGAGAATATTCCTAGAGTCCTGATCAACTGGATTCTCTTAAACTATCAATTTATCAAAATCATGCCATATTTTAGCTTGCCTCAGTTTAATCTGTAAGGATTTTAGAGGATCAGACAGACATGTAAGTGTGGAAAACATGAGACAAAAATTCATGGAAAGTCTGACTTTTAGTTTTTGTAAAAACAGGGTAAAAGATAAGCTTAAACAACTGGTATTATATTTAGGCAATAATTTCAAGATCTTCTGAAGCTTCTAATAAGTAGCAACACTGATAAACTTTAATTTCAATCATTTTACTGCTCTGATTCATTCTGTTTCAGGTACTCTGACAATGAAAGAGCCTAATTCCAGGCAGTCAAATGAGAAAAGAAGGTAAAGACTGGATTCTTTATAAACCAAATACAAGTTCCCTTACATTTCTAATAATGTAAAATATTTTAGCCAAGTCCTTGGTACAAATTGGTGTCCAAAAACTAGTACAGATTACGCAGTATTCCTGAATATTGTAGATATATATGTCTCGGTTTAGGTTTTTATTTCTAATCTAATACATCATATAATAAATGAGAATCTCATTTATCATAAGAACAAACACTTACCTGATGTCCGATTTTCTTCTGACTGTTTCAAACTCAGCTGCTTTTCTCTGCTGCTGGTTAAATACTTTCTTGAGGGATCTGTCACAGCTTTGTTGTTCCTACAGTTATTAATTTTAAAACAATGTAAGTATAGGTATATAAACATGTTGTTACAAATTTTATAGTTGTCATTAAAAAATTTACATTTCAAGTGCTAAATTCATTGATATACTTGAAAGCCAGGTGACAAGATTGCTAAAGCTTCAAGAGGTTAATGACTTAAACAAATGAGAATTATGATAGTGAGACCTCAAATCTACAAAAAAATTAGAAAAATTAGCTAGGAGTGGTGGTGTTTGCCTCTAGTCCTAGTTACTCAAGAGGCTGAGGCGAGAAGATCGTCTGAGCCCAGGAGTTCGAGGTTGCAGTGAGCTGTGATCACGCCACTGCACTACAGCCTGGGAGACAGAGCGAAATTCCATCTCTTTTTTTTTTTTTTTTTTTTTTTGAGACAGAGTCTCACTGTGTTGCCTGGGCTAGAGTGCTGTGGCGTCATCCTAGCTCACAGCAACCTCAAACTCCTGGACTCAAGCAATCCTTCTGTCTCAGCCTCCCGAGTAGCTGGGACTACAGGCATGCGCCACCATGCCCGGCTAATTTTTTCTATATATTTTTAGTTGTCTGATTAATTTCTTTCTATTTTTAGTAGAGACGGGGTCTCGCTCTTGCTCAGGCTGGTTTCGAACTCCTGAGCTCAAACAATCTGCCCGCCTCGGCCTCCCAAAGTGCTAGGATTGCAGGCGTGAGCCACCGCGCCCGGCCTGAAATCCCATCTCTTAAGAGGGGGGAAGAAAGGAGAGAGAGACAGAATTATGAAGATAACATTTCACTACCAAGTCAAGAGCTAATCCAATTCATGACTCTGGTAATTAAACAAAAATAAAGGAGCATTTTCTTTATACAAAAGTCAAATCAGAGATAGCAAGATCATATAGATTTTCTTGGCCAAAAGCAAAACCAGATGAAATGATTGATTCAGCTACTAACACCAAGAGAACTGATTACTTTAGTAAACTATTAAAGCTTGGTAGTTTATAGGTTTAAAATGTAAAATGAATTAAAATCAAAGTGTTCTTATATTCTATATGATTTGAAATAGTATTTACTAAATGTCAACATCATTTCAGTTTATAGTGATTAAAATATTTTAAGTTCATAAACACAAGGTTAAAATTTCTTAAACAAACCCCATTCCCCGCCACCGTATTATTCTCAAACACCTGAAACCACATATGTAGAGTGTCCATTCAAATACGTATTCATTCTTTGGTTAAAAGTGTTAATTTAGGAGAATCATCATGAATTAAGCCCTTGGCAGACAGCTCAGGTGCTCCACCCACATTCCCTCAGACTCCATTTTTGTGTCCTCTCCATCACACCCTCTCAGCAACTTATATGTGTTTTTGATAGCCAGTGCCTAGGGCTCTTCTTCAGAGGACTCCCCTCAAGTTACTAGAGATACTTTGCCTGTAATCTCAGAGTCACAAGTAAAGCCAGGTGTGTTAAGAGTACAGAAGCCCAGCTTCCTTGATTTGGATTATAACTTTATGGTGGAAGAAACAGATTTCTCCTCTAGGATCAGGATGAAGCCTACCCTTCATGGCTTTGTGTGACTTCTGTGTCAGATCACACCCATTCTTCATTTCCTGCCCTTCACTATGTTGCCTTCCTCATTCCGTTCTTGGTCTCCCCTGGGAGTACCTCCTTAATAATGCACTTGCACACTAATCTCCATTTCAGACTGCTTCTGGAGAATGTACTCAACAACAGTTGGTACTAGAAGTAGTCCTAGGAAAGACTTTAAGAATAGGATTCTGGAACTGGACCACTTGTTCAGCAATGGCAACAGAAATTCTACTCTGGTGGTAATACCTGTGGTATCCTGTAGTGTTACAACTGCTAAGATTTTCATCTGGGGTGAATTAAGATAGGATAGGGTAAAAGATACTGCTCAGACAATATCTCTAACATTTTAGAAATACAGTAAAATGACTACACAATGAATCTTAATGGGGTGATGGAAACATTCTGAAACTGGATTATTTACAGTAATACAGTAAACTGGAAATTTACAACTCAGTAAATTTACTAAAAATCATTTAATTGTACACTTAAAATAGGTGAATTTTATGGTATATAAATTGTACCTCAATAAAGTTGTTTTAAAAATCTCCCAAATTATTCTACTCCCTATATCCAAGCCTCCCATCAAGAAGTACAGTCTATTTCTCCATCTCTTAATAGAACTGGTCTTATGATTTCCTTTACCAAAAGAATGGGAGAGAAGTAACTGTGTGAGTTCTGATCCTAACCATAAAGGTGCCTTGCAGGTTTTCCACTCACTCTCTTGAAACCCTGCCACTGCTATGTGAATAATTTCAAGCTCTCGTGCTAGATGGTGAAAGATACATGGCCCAGTCACCCTCATCACCCCAACTGATAACCACCCAGTGCCCAGTCATGGGTGAGGCCATCTTAGACCAGTCAAATCCTAGTCAACCCATATACTGACCAGAGATGCATGAGAAAATGAGAGTATCCATGCACAATCAGCCGCGTTGGGCCCAGGTAAACAGAATCAACTGGGTGACCATAAAGTCATATGCAATAATAGTTACTATTTGAAGCCACTAAATTTTGGAGCAGCTTGTTAATACAACAACAGATATCTGATACAAGTGATATGGATTAAATAATAATCATAAAGATATAGAAAAGGTTGGTTGTTGTTACAAGTACTGATCTGCTGAAGACAAATGATGACAGGCTCAGTTAAGTAAATTACCAATTTAAGGAAAAAGACACTGTGTAGTGTCTCTCACCCATAGGAGAGCTGCATTCCAGAACCTTAGTTTTCTAGAGCAAGACCATGCCATCTACAGCAGAAAATTACAACTCATCCATAAAGTATGGCATACTACTCTTAGCATGTTATTAGGCCCTGGAAGAGAGTGAGCATCTGACTATTCATCATCAAAGGATTATACAACCAGAGCTAATCATCATGAGCTGGGTGCTGTCACATCAATGAAGTTATAAAATCAAGAGAGTACAGCAACAATCCATCATAAAATAGAAGTAGGTATATTGGGATTGGGCCCAACTAAGTAGGAATACATAACAAGAACAGGCTTTATGGACATTCCCTACAACAAGCTGAAAGAAGAGGAATAAATGTGGGCCTGATTCATGGATGGGTCATCTTTATCCAATGATAAAAAACTGAAAATGAACAACTGCTGCACTGTAGCCCTACTAAGGGACTGCCCAGAAAGACAGTGGTTAGGGGAAATCTTCCACTGTACAGAGCTTTGAGAGGTACACCTCCATCATCCACTTTGTGTGGAAAGAGAAGGAGGTCATAGGCTACTGAGTGGTGGCAAATGGTCAAGATGGTCAGGGGCCTAGAAGGAGCATGCCTAGAAGATCACAGAGAAATTCATGAAGAGGTATGCGAACAGACTTATCAGAGTGTGTACAAAAAGTGAAGATCTGTTTCACATGTTAATGCTCACCAGAAAACAACACTAAAGAGACACTAAACAATCAGCAGGACAAACTGTCCACTCGATATCAGCCACACTCTGTCCTTAGCCATGCCGATAATTCCACAAAGGGCCCATGAATAATAAAATAGCCATGGTCTTGTGATGGAAGCTATAGTATAGGTCCCCCCTGCACCAAGGTTTAGCTACTGCTGCTGCTGAATGTCCAATTGGTTAGCAGCAGACAATAATGCTGAGCCCCTGATCCAATATCCCTTGAGGAAACCAATCAGTGACTTGGTGGCAAATTGATTACATCCACCCTAGAAAAGATAGCAATTAATCCTTACTAGGACTGTCCTGTATTCTAGGTCACAGCAGACCCTCTTATTTCTCAGGGTATACATTCCAAGACTCACAGTGAATGTCTGAAACCGTGGATAGTACCAAACTCGACTGCCATCAATTGGAACACCTTTCTGCTCATGTCTTCCACGCACAAATCTGATACCTTTTCCATTTTAACTAAGCACTTATCATGTACGTGGCCATAACTTTTGCAGTTTGAGATGCGACAGCAAAAGTAGCATGAATTTCTTTTTTCTTCTTCACAATTTCATGGATAGATTTGTTCTTACTGTAGATCTTATCAACCTCCGCATCGATTTTTTTTTTCCTTATTTTTTTTTTTTTTGAGACAGAGTCTCACTCTGTTGCCCTGGCTAGAGTGAGTGCCATGGCGTTAGCCTAGCTCACAGCAACCTCAAACTCCTGGGCTCAAGCGATCCTCCTGCCTCCACCTCCCAAGTAGCTGGGACTACAGGCGCGTGCCACCATGCCCGGCTAATTTTTTCTATATATATTTTTAGTTGTCCAGATAATTTCTTTCTATTTTTAGTAGAGACGGGGTCTCGCTCTTGCTCAGGCTGGTCTCGAACTCCTGAGCTCAAACGATCCACCCTCCTCGGCCTCTCAGAGTGCTAGGATTATAGGCGTGAGCCACCGCGCCCGGCCTTCTTTCCTTATTAAGTCGAGAACTTTTACCTTTTCACTTAAAGGAGGCACTTTACAGCTTCTCTTTGGCACATATGAATTGCCAGCATCATGACTCTTGTGCTTTGGGGACATCATTAAATAAAATAAGGGTTACTTGAATACAAGCACTGCGACACCACCATAGTCAATCCGGTAACTGAGACAGCTACTAAACGACTAACAAGTGGGTGGCATAGACAGCAACAAAGGGATGAAGCAAGATAGCTCAAGAGTTCATTATACTATACAGAATAGCATGCAATTTAAAACATATGAATTGTTTATTTCTGGAATTTTCCATTTAATATTTTTGGACCAAGGTTGAACCCAAGTATCCGAAACCACAGAAAGTAAAACCATGGATAAGGGTAAAACCATGCCTTTCCTGCTCCCAGTATCTTGACCAGCATTATTATCTAAGAATTCATAAAAGTATCTCATTCACTAAAATAAAAACTCACATATTATTATCTTGGAACAAGGAGTCCACTCTGCAGAAAAGGAGGTACAACAAGGGCATATGACCACAGGATCCACTG